CTGATATTGTGTATTGGATATTTTTGTGTGTATGAAAAAAGAGATAGTGTTTTAATTGTTTGTTAAATTTGGCAGCTGTGTTATTTTATTCATCTGCATTATCTTTGTAAATAGTGAGAAAAATCATGCATTTCTGTTTCTTATCATGTATCCAATTCAGCAGTGGAGTGATAAGACTATCTTTTAGTATAATGGTGCATTGCATCAATTTATCAAATGCTTGAATATCAGCTTTATTCATATAGTACAGTAGCTAGTTAACACATAGGATGCATACCAAACACTCAAGCCAGATCAGCCAGCAAGTCCTTATAATCACAAATAGATTATTGGCTTTGTGTCAAAAACAACCATCCCAGCTGTTTAGAAAGTAGACTAATCATGGCAGAAATTCATCTCATAGTCAGTGGTAGAAAACATCAGAGGTTCTAGTTAAAAGGATAAATCAAATTCATAAATTCAGATTAAAGTAGGTTTTGAAATATTTAATAATCTCATTCTTATGGTTCCTGGTAACGATAAGGCAGTTCTCTTCTGGTTCACCATCCTATTATAGAATTAATGAGAACCTTTATCTTTCTAGCTTTTCCCCCCTCCCATGATGGCTTAGAGTTTCAAAAAAATCACTTTGCATTTTAAGAATCTCTGCTAATAGAGATAGGTTCTTAGATAAATATCTAATCTGGTTGTTGGATTTATGGCTGGATTTAATTGGAATGAATGCATACAAGGGTTTCATTTACTACAGGCCATCTGAATAATGGTTCTTCAAAACACATTTGTCTTTATAACATGACAGCTGCTTGAAACTGCTGCTGCAAGATACACCAGTCTGCTTTAGAACATTTTCACACCAAGGACCTTGAGCATTATTGTTTATAAATACAAATAAGTTCTTTCTACTTCATAAATGGAAAAATATACAGCAAAAGTAAATAATCCAGGCCTTATAGTTTAAGGCTGCTTTCCCTAACATGGTCTTTGCCAAAGGTTCTGTGGCTCTAATTCCCATTAGTTTTGTTGTCTGGGAATTCTGAGCTACAGTTTCCCTGAATCTGAAGAGCACCATATTAGGGAAGTTGTAACTAAAAACAAATAGCTTTGAGGCATCGATCAGTATAACTAAAATGTTAGAAAGATAAAAGCAATGCCAGTCTGAATAGGTATATATGGAAACTAATCAAGGAGAGAAGCAACCTAGAACTAAGGAGAAACTTCCTGATAGTTAGAATAATTAACCAATGGAACAACCTGCCTCCAGAAGCGGTGAATGCTCCAACACTGGAAGTTTTTAAGAAAAGACTGGACAGCCATTTGTCCAAAATGGTGTAGTGTGCAAGGTCCCTTCCAACTTTACTACTACTACTACTACTACTACTACTACTACTACTACTACTACTACTATCATCATCATCATCATCATCTTTACTTTATATTCCAGATATACAGCTAGACAGCCATAGAAAAAATACAGACTGGTCGAATTAAGATCTATTTTGCTCATTCATTATTATTTGAAAGTATCTCTTTGATTTGGAATGCTCAACTTTATATATCAGTGTTACAATTATTATTGGTACTAAGGAAGGGCAATAAAAATAAATAAATAACAAGAGTAAGAATGTCCCCAATACCAAAAAAAGTAAAACTGGTAGCCAAATGGCACATGTTGATAGGATAGTTTGAATGATATCAGCTTTGTTCAAGCAAGCTATACTCTAAAGTAGAGATGACCAAAAATAAAAGCAAGAAACAAGAACACTGTATCACTTTTTAAAAATTCTACAGAAGAATTTAAATATGCCATTCAGTTGCACGTCTGAATGTAGATGTACATTTGGCAAATGTATATATAAAGACAACAATGGCTGTTTCTCTCACCCTTTTTCCTGTTCAGAATTAATTTCTGATTAAAGACTATTATTTTATATTAGTTCTGTGTCATAGCCAGAATGGAAAGAATGGGAAACCAAGCTTATTAAAAAAAATCTGCCATTGTATATTGTGCAATGTCAGGCCAACTTTATACAGAATAAGTTTGAGTCAGGATTTACTATAGAGAAGTTTAAAAAATATAAATGTATTGTAATTACAGCTGAGGTTCATGTGCTACATAGTGCTTATTTCTTATTTCTCTTCATCAGTGTATAAGCCATTTTCACATATATGTGGGGTCCTTGATCGTTTTCTTTCAGATGTTTCATTACAGAAACTAGATAACATCATCCACACTGAAGTTGTTACCTAGTTTGGGTAATGAAATGTCTGCAAGAAAACAACCAAGCTCAGAGAATACCAAGGACCCTTCATTTCAGCCCTGAGCTACAAATATTTCCTCTATTAATATCATTTATATGTATGCTTCTGGAGAAATCTTGTATCAGCATAACAATGTACATTGCTTATAAATATTATAGCAAGAAATTCTGACTATTTTGGTTCTGTATGTAATGACAAGGTAGAAGAATAAATATTTAATATAGTAGGGAATGTAGGAGATGACCAGGCAAAGCCTGAGGGTGGGGTCAAATGCATCATCAGTTTGGAGTCATTTTACTTCCACAAGAGACCTACATTAACTCACTGACTCTTTTCTATCATCAATTTGTCTTGAACATTAGTAGAACAGATTCTTGTGTATAGGTAGCATATAATAAACTTGTAACTGAACTCCTGTTCCTGGTTACTTGCACCTGACAGGGAAATAGTTACAAATGTACTATCTAATGTAGTATTATAAATAATACAGACACTTTTTACATGTAAGAAACAGATTCATTATTTAACCTAACATCAATTTATGACATTGCTGCAATAGAATAGAAAATAGCTACAGTAACTTGATCTACCAATAGTTAATCTTTATACAGAGAAGCCCATATCATGCAGTCCCAATACTGAAAATCAAAAGAAGTATGTACATTATTAACCATAACTCTTATTTTAAAATAATAATTCGACCTGCAGATAGTCTGCAGCTACTCTCAGAAGTTACTTCAATGAATTTTAGCAGTAAGGGGGAGGGATTGTTGTGTTCGTATTGACCCAGAATTAACACTTCACCAACCTATTCGAAGATGATCTCTACAGATGACCTGATTTTGGACTTGGTACCATATCATTATCATACCTGCTACCAAAGACCTTCGTATCTAAACTGGAGCTGCCAACCAATAAACATGACACATTTCCTGATTTAAACACTTGTTAAAAAAGGATCAAATATTTTCTATTAGAAGATGTCATAGAAGCAGAAGCACATGTTAAAATCTGTGCACCTGCCCTCTGGAATAAGGTCCTCCCTAAGATCTATATGGCTCCCACCTTGATGCCCTTCCTTGAACCTTTGGCTAGTTGTTCAGATCCTTAGGTAAAGTGGATGACATTCCCATTTGCAATATTTTTTGTTTTGCTTTGTTTGGATTGCCATCTTGTAATTATTTCATACTTATTTTTTAATTATTCCAGTTATTTTTCAAAATTTTGTTGTTTTTATGCTACTCTTATTGTTGTGAGCTGTCAGGCAATGTGTGGGATTGGGCAGCATCCAAACTGAATAAATAAATAATAAAATGTTCTAGGAAGGGAAAGACATTATGAAGAATAAACAGGCTGTATGGTTTTACAATTTTGTTTTTAAGATTACCAATTTAAATAATTTGTTAATTGTAATAATACAGGCAAATCATGCAGGTTTATTCAGACTAATGTTCCAATTGTAGGAGATGATCAAACTGAGCCTGAGGGAACAGTCAAATGCCTCATTAGTCATGAGTCCAAGAGAACTAAATCCAGCCCACCTGTCAAGAGTGATTCACTTTTCACCTAGTTTCTTCTCTGCTCTCAACATGACACCATCTTGAATTTCTTTCTATTCTTAACTCCCACTAATTTCCTTTGACCATTAGTAGTTCAGATTAATATCCAGCAGCAAGGAAATCAAGAGCCAGGTAGTTCAAATGAATAGTTCAGATTCTTGTAGAGAGCTAAAGTGTACAATAAATCTTTATACACATTTGAACTGCCTGGATCTCCTGATTTTCCTGGTGCTTGACACCAATGTTATCAGTGTACATTTTTCATAGGTGTCCACCTGTGCTTCAGATCCTACATTAACAAAGAAAACTTTAAAAATCAAAATGGATTAGGTTAAAAATGGCAGGGGTTGTATTTGTAATCTAATAACTACAGTGATAGAAACAGAACTGAGGAAGCAACAGGATCAGGCAGGATAATATTCTCAACACTATGCTTCAGTGTTTTTGCTTTGTGTAATGTTCACTGAGGGATAATATGAAGCACAAGCAGTCAACAGAAAATAAATGGAAAAAGAAACATAAAATGAAACTTATTTTGATAAAGTGAAAGTTAGAAATTAAAGTATGCTCTTCAATTATTTCAATCTGTATTTAGTGAAAAGTTAAGACAACTTTAGAAATAATATCTCTACACCAACATTACAGACATCTCATTTGAGGGAGTTGGGGCATGTTCAATCACCCAATCTTCTCCTCCACAGTACCATCAGTCTCCGATCTCATCAGTCTCCTGACAGTTCAATAACCATTTAGATCAATGTTTTTCAACTTTAATTAGATTGCTGTGGAATTCTGGGAGTTGAAGTCCACACATCTTAAAGTTACTGAGGCTCAGGAACAGTTTTAGATTGCTAAATAACTAACCAAACCAAGAAACAAAACCTCCTGAAAGCATGGTGATCGCAATCCAGAAAATGTTGCTAATATGAATTAGCTATAATCTACATGGTAGTCTTTTTGAAACAATAGTTTGGAAGGAGCAATGGGTGGTAGTTTAGTCTATTGTATTGCATTTCCATATCACACCCAAAGGCGATCATAGCCAAGTATTGAGACAGCATAGAAACATCACTTGATGTATCTTTAACTAAAATGTAAATATACTTTCAGAAGTGCTTTAAACAATGTAAATATTTGTGCTTGCAAAATTCTTGCACAGTGAACAGATTGTTACCATAAGGCTCATTCTTAAAAGCTGCATTTTTTATTTTACTAAATTATCTGTGTTAAAAACAAATCTGTGCCTGGTGTGGAATTTTACTGCATTAAGTGTTACAAGCAGCAGAATGCATGACATGTAAGAACATGTGTTAGACAACATGGAAATAAATTAGCATATAATTTACAAAAGCAAAAACAATTATAACAATGTAACAGTGTACCACATAATACTGAATATAAAATAAGAAGCAAATAATCACAATAAAAGAATTCATTTTCATTCTGAACAGTTAAGGAAACTTTTGTTATCCATAGCATCAATGAACCCTTCTAAAAAAAAAACTTGGATGTATACTTTGACTGAACTGTAAGTTTGATAGTTTTAATTGGTGGCACTGCTCAATGGAAAAACCAACAGCGCATTTGTTTAATATCTGCTCTAGAACTGTTAATCTTCCCATCTTGGTGCAGCCTATACAAACATCATATTGTCATTATTTATGAATATAATACTTGGTCTATTTCATCATAATTACATAAATGGCTATAGTGTAGCAGCTGCAATGTCCTGTGCTGTCAGAACAAATGATTAATTTTTATTCAGAATTTTAATGGGGTGGGGCATTACATATTGGTCCATTCATAATTCAAATACATTCTGTGTTTTTTTTTCCTTTTAGCAATGCAAGTCAACATTGCTCCAAGGAAAGGGTTTCTTAAATTCCAACTCATTGCTCTTTTTATGCTTCAAAGTAAACACTGGATTCCCTGGTCATCTAGCACCAATGAAAGAGCAAAATATGCTTGTGAAAGCAGTCTTTGCAAAGGCAATGTCCTAAATGAGGTAAGAATAAATTCCATCATTTCTTGCTAATTGAAAAGTCACATTAAGTAATAAATATATTGATGTTTAAGAGGAACCAGAGGGTGTTACACTGTGGTATTTTGCCTAGAAAATATCCTCATGACAGCTATCTCTTCTATTGTACCTTTGCATAATCAAGGCATATTAGCACCAATATATTTTCTTAATGAACAAATATACAAAGTAATTCACCCACTAATTATGTTGCTCTCTTGCCTACATGTTAAATTCTAAATGTGTATAGTTTTCCTTCCTCAGCATTCATTCCACTAACAGTTGTGTAAATTGCAACTGAGCAGTAATGGCTCCGGGTAAGGCTAGATACTAAAAAGGAATTCTACTGCTCACATGTATGTGGAGATGACTGTCAAGAGGTAGCATCTGACAGGAGTTTGATGGTTATGGTCTACAGAAAACCCTACAGAAGGATTGTCAATATTTCTCCATAACACAAGTCTCTCTCTATTTCCTGTTAATTCACATTAGTTAAGTATCATTCAACACATTTGGCTTACTGCAGTTCGTTAAATATATTGACACATTTAGATACCATAACATGTTAAAAAATTTGTCTCATTAAGAATATTATTTTATAAAAGTGCCACTTAACTTCTAGTATTAATACAAGGTGTTGTTGTTGTTCACATCATCATCTCAATTGCACTACAACAAAGGAGGCAAATTGGACACAAAAGCACATTCATCAAGGACCTGCTGCAAACTGCAAGTGTTCAAGTACAATTATAATAATATAAACAAGTACCCACTTTCCTTATCTCTTTGTTGTCTGATTGACAAAGAAGGGACTAGGAGTGGGGGAAGTATGGCCTTCAGGCTTAACTCACAATGGATTTTGGAACTGTTTTATCCAAGGAGCTTGGCTTCACATTTAAGTACATTTCAGAATATTATTAGATTGATATAGTGACTATAAGAGTTATGGTACTTCAACTTGAAATATTTCTTATCAGTTACGTACTTTTTGATTGTTTATTTTGTAACTGTCCAAAAGTGAGAAAACTCATATTTTCTCTTCCTCGCATTCTCTCATAAAACATTCTTCTATTGTTTCAGTGAGGAAGGAAATGAACACCCAGAAGACTTTCAGCATGATTATTAGAAGAGACCATTCTCCACTATACAGCCAGTTCATCATTGATAATTACATAGTAATTAGTTGCCACAGAGATGCCTTTCTGTAATTGAAGGGAGAAGTTGTGAATTTGAGAAGGTTTGTTTTAAGCAGTCTCTACATAAGTACTGAAATAGTAAATATGTTCTTCACAACTGGAGTATGAATACATTCCCTTTAGTAAAAATCCCAATTTATTTGTAAAATGGCAAGATAGCTATAAACCTGCAGCACATATTTATTGTTTGATGCAATCAGGTAATACCTGATGCATTTTTAATAGCTTTATATATGGCTCACTGCAGTCCTCTGGAAATATGGATTATCCTTTAAAAAATTAGATGAAACAAAGGAAAATACATTTGTTTTACTTTGGATTTATAATTGCTTCTAAAATAATATTCCCAAGCCCACTTCTTTACGATAAGTTGTGGTGCTATATAGTAAGATAAAATAATTATTAATTATAAGCTATGACAGAGTTTTTAAAATTCTTCTTTACTTCTATAGATGACCAAACCATAACAACTACATTTTAACAATATTAAATACAAATGGATTCAGTGTCACTTCTAGGTCCATAATAACAATTATCTTAATGGTCCAAGGAGGTAAACAGGATTTAGTTGAAAGTACACATATGTTCTCTATGTGCTGGGTATAGTTTTCCATTTTGGCGTTGCCTCCTTATACTGTGTCCAGCACTTTGGATGAATAAATCCCACTTCACAGAAGTTAAAATAATTTTGTAATTCTGTCAGCTGGAGCTGACCAGTGGTTATATTTTCCACAGGGTGATAAATGTAGACTATCTAACTGGTTGCACGGTGCAGAAATCTTAGATGGACACATTTGCACAATGAAGCAACAAGGCACTTTCGATTTCTGCTGGTCAATGTCCTTGGCAAGTCTTGCAGCACATCTGTCTGAAGTACGCTCGACTGCAGAATTTGAACTTCAGCACCAGTGGGCAATAAGCCACTTTGTTCACATCTTTGCATTCTATTTGAGATACACAATGATTATATTGTCACATAAATTTAAAACATGCATAATGAAAAACAAATAGCATTGAATAAAATGCTTCTTAGTCTTATTCTGCTACAGCTTGTCATCTACAAAATAATGTTCACATTTAGAAAGGGATGTGATGCCTTACCAAAAACATATTTCAAAGTATATCTATTGCTTTTTTTTAAAAAAAAATGACACTGCTTTCATATACAGGTAGTCCTCGACTTACCATTCATTTAGTGACCATTTGAAGTTACAATGGCACTGAAAAAGTGACTTATGACCATTTTTCACACTTACAACTGTTGCAGCATTCTCATTGTCACGTGAGGAAAATCTAGAAGCTTGTCAATTGACACCTATTTATGACAGTTGCAGTGTCCTGGGGTCATGTGATCACCTTTTGCAACTTTCTGACAAGCAAATTCAATGAAGAAGCCAGATTCACTTAACAACCATGTTACAACCTTAACAACTGCAGTGATTCATTTAAAAACTGTGGCAAACAAGGTCATAAAATGGGGCAACAATCAATAAATGTTTCATTTAGCAACATATATTTTGGGCTCAATTGTGGTCATAAGTTGAGGACTACCTATATATAATTATAGCTTTTTAAAAGATTTATCTGGTTTTTCAGATATTTTCCAAATCTAAATGAAATTGTGCTCTTCAGTATCATTGTTGGAAAACCAACAACATATTCAGCTTTTAATGATTCTGAAAAGAATCAGCAGTATTAATCATAATATCACAATGAGTAGATCTCAATCAATTATCTAGTTGCTTGTAGAGTGCCTTAAGTCTTTAATGAAAGATTGTGGGTTGTGTGGAAAGAAAAAGTATTTCTGCAACTAGGAAGATCTTCTTACATAGAATAGGGAAATAGAATTATCCTACTACCACTACACATTGCTTCCTCAAAAACTTTGATTGAGAATAAATTTGGTCAAAAGTTTAGTATTTTCTTCAAAATCCATTCCAAAATGAATATTTTCACATGGCTTAAGGTCACAATTTTTGTAACAGACTGAAACAAAGCCTAAATATATATACAACTGTATTTGCCCAAACTCATATTTTGTAAACTGGCTCCATTCAGGCCTTTTTTTTTTTTTTTTTTGCTTTTCCCCTCCTATTGATGACGTTCAGACTGCAAGTTCTTCTGTGCAAGAACCAGCCTTTACTCTTATTTATGTTTCTTTGTAGCACTTTATTCACTCTTATGGTACTAAATAAATAAATCTCTAACTAGATTTAAAGAACAGGTAGTCATCATTAAAGCAGCTTTGGATTCATGCCACCAGACAAAACCTGCCATTCAAAAGAAGAAAACATCCTATTTTCAACTCGGCACATCAAAACACACCAGAAATAGCTTGTTGGACCTCAGCCAAAATATATCAAGCCAGTTCCTAGTTCTGTCATAACAAGACATAGAATGTAGGGCAGGTGCGTGAAAATGAATGAACCAGCATACTGAAAAAGGAACCAATAAGCTAAAGTTAGGATATAGCTAAGGGTGGGTGAATGATTTGGATCTGGTTGTAAATATATTCTTCAGTCTTGGTTTAAACCAATATGGAAAGAAAAAGCTGAGGGAAGACACTGTTCTGGCTAGCAAGTGGACTGAAATGTCTTCTTATATTTAATTATAACCAACAGTCAGTCTGAAGCAGATGGAAGAACATTTATATGAATACATTGTTAGAATGGAAAGAATGTTCCTAACATAGTCCACACATTACCTATTCCTTTTCTGATCAAACTGATCTTCAATTGACTTCTGTGAAATGTTTAAATCTGAAAAACCAATTTTCAGCTACTGAAATATTTTAAAAGACAAAGCAACTACAAAAAAAATCACTCTTATTCAAAAACAGAAAAAGAACAGCAAGGTTATCATTATTTTATGAATGTCTGTATTAGGAATTTATGATATGCTATACCAAATACACTGATATCTCACTTTAAAAAACAAAAGAAATGTTTGTTTAGAGTACTTGTACAGCCACCTATCTCATATAATGATTCTAGGCAGCTCACAACAAACCATAAAATAACATTAAAAACAAATGCCAGAGCATCTTCACAACACCCATCCTAATCCAATACATGGAGGAACAGCCAGGTTTTCAAAGCCCTTTGGAAAGCTAAAAGTGTTAGGGATCCCAGACCTCAGATTAGCTGCTCCAAAAGCTGGGCAGACACCAAAAGGGCCTGCCTCCAAGGTCTCATCAGATGTTTTTGGTGTCTTTGAGTTAGTAATGACTTATAACAACTGACTGGACTAGTCCCTCTTGTTTTCTTGGCAAGATTTTCAGAAATGGAACCACTGTCTGCTCCCTAGGGCTGATAGTGATTGGTCCAAAGACCAGAACTCACAGTCTTTTGATTTCTAGCCTGGCCCTTAACCACTAATATTAAAATGCTCTAATTTTCAAGTTAAATGTTTAACAAGAATTACAACGGATGTTAAATGTGATGAATTGTCCTTCTCAGATAGCCAGATCATTTATGAGCCAATGTTGCCAAAGATGAAACTGATTAAGTTCCTTTGTTTCAAACTACCCTATTGTTTAGACTTAAATTAAAAGAATCTTTAAAAGAAATTAAGACAACTGGAACATGGACTCCAATGAGTATCAAAGAAAATTCTTGGCCACCCATGGACACTATGCTAGGTATTCAGTGCTAAAATCCATCCTGAATATTATGATTTATATTAATATTTTAAAATGCTAACTTTAGTAAAAGCAACTTTACCTTCTGCATTAGAGACAGGGGTACTGTCACACTTGCTCTCACACTGCTGCATTGATGGAGGTCGAAGAGTATCAGGGCAATCACTGGAGGCTTGCCCAGTGTATGAGAGGCATTGCACAGTTCTCATCTGTTGTCCAAGACCACACTGTGCAGAACACTATGTCAGAAAAAAATGAAAAGGAGGGAGGGGGAGAACAAACGTCAAAGTCTTAGTAACTAAAAAAAGCAGTAAGATCCTGAACTTACTTATAATGCTTGTGGAAACATTATATAGGACAGTGATAGAAAAGTCTGATTAGCGCTACAGTATATTGTACAATATATATCAGGCAGTATACAGATGGTCCTCATTTAACAAGAGCAATTGGGACTGAAATTTCTGTTTCTAAATGAAGCTGCCATAATGTATAATATTGCAGGACTGCGCTGCTTAGCACCACCACTTCTAATACTTGTGGTTGCCATCAAGAGAATTCCATGCTTTTGTTAAGCAAGGACATCACATAGCTGCCATTGCAATCATCTGCTGGTTTCCCAAGTGATTTGATTTGCAGGAAGCCAACAAAGAAGGTCACAAATGGAGACGACATGACCATTAGACAATGTAACGTTGTAATCGCACCCTGGATAACCAGATTGCAATCACGGGACTATAGAGATGCTGCAATAGCCGGAACTTTGAGGACCAGTCATAAGTACTACTTGGTTACTGAAAAAGTGGTTGTTAAGGGAGGACCATCTGTATTTTGTTTCTATATTAAGCATCTTTTTATTATTCTGTTTCTTCCAGAAGCAGCTTTCAGTTAGAAATGGTGCTTTTTTTCTTTCTTTTTTTAAAATAATGGCTAGTTAGCAGACTCATTAAACCTAGGCTGAAAAGCCTAGCTATGGTAGACAAGCACAACTGTTCTTATAGAAAAGGGTAATTAATGGAAACAGTGGAATGGAGCCGCCTGCATTACTGGTTGACAAGGAAGTATCCATTTAACAGGCAGAGTTGTTTTTTGAAAAAGATATTTTTACTATATACTAGCTAATAGCTGTCACTGAAAGCAGAGTCATGCACTTTTGTTACTTTATTTTGTTGATATAAGAGAGGCAAATGAGATGAAAAATGTGCTGTTTGTTAGTAGATACATCATGGGCACAGTTTAATGGACATTTACAAAATGTTCTTCTCATTGCAAACAAAAAAGATGTATTGTACTATGGATTGAAGAAGATGGTGTTTTATAGAAAAAAAGTATTAAGACTGAATAAAGTTATAGTATCATGCAGCCATACTTATGATATCAGGTGAAGATATCTGCAAATAACAATTATATACTTATTTCACATGGTGACCATTTGGAAGCCTCAAAGAATATCTTTGATGGGCCTAAAATAGGGCAATATGAAATAACAGGAGACTTTTCTTCTCAAATCCATTTCTGAGGTCTGTGTAGTCACACCCAAGTTTTTTTTTCAGTAATATATATATTACTGCAAATATATATATTACTGCAAATTTATTCATAAGTGTTGTATGTTAGCTATTGTTGCAGCAGACTCATACATTTAGTCCTTTGAACTTCAGTACCACTTTAGACACTCAAGAAGCTTGCCTATGTTACCTGTCCCCAATCCCCTGTAACCCATCGTGGTGGAGGACACCTGCCCAAGCTGCAGCGCATGCGGACAGGCGGCTTGTTTTCTTCTTGGCAATGTGCAACTGGAAATGTTTTTGAAAGATCACTGCTTTTGCAGAGAACAATACGATGCTTAAAACCAGGTCCACATTTTGGAGTACACTATAAGCCAAACACACACATGATTTTTAGAATTAAATACTTTAAATTGTGAAAAGCTGAAAACATTAACAACATAGCTCTATTAAAAAGGAAAATATAAGTATATATTCTTAAGACTGCAAACAAAATTGTCATATTAAAAGTATTCATTATCCAAACTTTGGACATTATGTCATAATTGCAGATACATTTACTATAAACTATTGAAAAATATCTTAGAAGTTCTACGTCAAATGAAGTAGTTAAATCACTTGTAGGGCACAATAACATATCAGCAACTCTATTCAGCTTTACCTCTACACTGAAATATGTCATTTAATAGGTAAAATTAAGTCTTTAAATCTAGATTGACGCATACCATTTTCATTTGTTTTATTATCTATAAGAATGTGTTAAATCATACATGTAAAACAAAGTGTCTGTTCTATGGACTAAAGAATAAAGAATGGTGGATGAATTTCTTTGCATCAGTTTCATGATAAATTGGGATTTTGGGGGGCAACTGGATGAGTACCAATATTTTTGGTCATCTCTGTGTTTTTGTAGATGGAGAGTTTAGAATTTTAAGTATTCTTTAAAACCATAACTTAATCATTCTGTCTGCTGATAGAAACTTGGAAAGGTTTGAATAAGGATAAAATAAGTGGGGTAGATGGGGTTTCATTTCCAAATAAATAAGGAAAAAATTACTAGTTAGGAATAATTTTTTTCTTGCACTTTAATGCCCAGTTCCTCCTATTCTCATAATTCTAACTCAATTATGCTAAATAGACACTGCAAAATAAATTATTAACACAAGTGTAATGTTACTATAGGCTTCCAGAGAAATGTTCAATTAAGAAATAATATGGAATTAAATAAATATAAATTAATTCAAATTCATTAAATGTAGTATTTAATATTGTGCACAAATCAGCTCTTTTGAATTAATATTGAGTAGTGTTGAATTTAGAATTTGTATTATCAGGTTACAGAATCCAGTTTTTTCAGTATGGAGTAACAAACTTCTCAATATATGGTTGAAGCACTGAAGGAATATAGCTGAAACAGTATTGCTAATATAGCTTCCCTTAAAATGCCAGCTATAAACTACATATAGGAAGTCCTTGATTTACCACCACAGTTAGGACCAGAAATTCTGCTGATAGGCAAAGCAGTTATTAAGTGAGTCATGCCTGATTTTATTATTTTTTTGCCATGGCTGTTAAGCAAATTATTGCAGTTGTTAAGTGAATTCCAGGGTCACTAAATGAATCTGGATTCCCCCACTGACTTTTCTTATCAGAACTGACTCCAGGAAGCTGCAACTGTCATAAATGAACGCAGGCCAAGCATCCAAATTTTGATCTCATGGGGATGCTGTGACAGGTATAAGTGCAAGGACTGGTTGCAAGTCACTTTTTCCAATGCTATTGCAAATTTGAACAGTTGCTTAATGAATGGTTGTAACTTAAGGACTATCATAAGAGCCGAGAGTGGCACAGCAGTTAGAGTGCAGTACTGCAGGCCACTTTAGCTGACTGTGTTCAGCAGGTCAGCGGTTCAAATCTCACCGGCTCAAGGTTGACTCAGCCTTCCATCCTTCCGAGGTAGGTAAAATGAGGACCCAGATTGTTGGGGGCAATGTAAATATATATATACATTGCTTACTGGTGTACACCGCTTAGAGAGTGCTTGCACTTAAAGCGGTATATAAGTCTCATAAATAAATAAATAAATATCTGTAGTTCCATTTTAGTTTTACACTAGCATGTTGTGCAATCCCAGACCATGCATATTGCATGCATGATTTACAGAAGACAGAAATTTGATAATTCTGGAATATATCACATTTAATAAGTTAGAGTAGCAAGTCAGATACACTGTAATATATCCTATCGCAGTACCGATATGTGTAAAGGGGTTATTTAAGGAGTTATCAAGATCACTCACTTCTGACCAATCCAAAGGAACCCACTGTGGGGGGCAAGATTGATTGTTACAGGACTCTTTTTCAACTGGGTGATGTGTTAAACAATGAGTACTCCCCAACGTTTCTTCTTCAGAAGGTCCAATTTTCCTGATACATAAAACAGTTCGTGATCTCGTTCCTCCATCACAAGTCTTACTGCATTCTGACCAATCACCTATAAACCATCTATAGGAAGAATATTAGAAAAAATTATTAGTTCAAGAAATGAAATGATTATCCCTGCAACTTGTACATGTCTTTGTAGCTCTTCTGGGTCTTGAGAGAAGAAAATAACATCATCTGCAAATCTTAAGTAATTTAAATAGACACCATTGATATATACACACACACACACACACACACACACACACTGAACATTTATTAAGGATGCTGCTTATCTCTTTTTCTTTAAATTTGATATTGAAATAATTGAACTCTTTTTAGAAAAATAAAAATATTTTTCAATGTTGATATATTTATAAGAGTTAGTCTATTCTAATATTTTAAAACTATTATAAAAAGATTTCTTTCTTTGGTATTTGTACACTATTGTCACCAGAGCTTACGTTTATTCATATATATGTTATTTATATGTCAATGACTATAAAAAAACCCCACAATATAGGGTTTTTGAAGATTATGTTTGTGTGAAGACATTCCTCTAGAAAAACAAATACTCATTCAGTATCTCCAAGTGCAAACTATGTAAAAGTTTAAAGATAATCAATAGTATCTTGAATAATGACTGGAAATAAACTAAACATACATGAAGTCATTTCAGAATCAATAAGATCAGGATAGCAATTGATTGTATTTTTTTTACCTAACTGAATTTTCCCAATGGTGTTGAAAGATTTTCTCAATGGTCTTCAAAGATAATCCTACAAGCTATATACTGCAACAGTGTCATATAGAATTTAGATAAGGATATTACTGTTCCAGAATGGTTCACAGAAGTTGCTAGTAAAGAAAATACATATCTAGCTGGATATGCAATACTTTCAGTCTGGAGATATAAATAACATAGCATAGAATAAAGAAGTACTTACTCAGGTGGACAAGGCTCAGTGTTGCAGGCTCTTTGATTTTCTGGTAGTTTACTATCAGGATCACAGTAATTGTTCTGGACTAGAGAACTGTCATCTAGCCTTTTGCATACTGTTTCTTGTTTCTGCATACCTTAGGAAGGAGTGGAATAATATTAGTTTTATTTTTTATTTCCTTATTTTAAACCAAGCAAATCTGTGACCCTGTAGCTCAGTTAAGTCATATACCCTGGATTCTCTGGCCTTCATAATTTTACTACTTTCTTGAAGGTATAAAAAGAGAAAGATTTCAAGCAACTGCTAGATGGTTGTCAGCAGCATTCAGCTCTAGAGATGCCCTATCCTATTTTATCAATTGAAGTAAATGGCAAATTCAATAGAGGTACAGCTTCTGTACCTTCCTTTCCACAGGTTTTTTTTTGCAACTTAAAAGTTGATTTCAGTTATCTAATTCTTACTACTATCTATCAAAACACATTAGTCAGTAATTTTATTTTTTATTTTTCATTTTGTTTAATTGATGTGGTAAATAAAAGCATTAAAAGTAGCAGAAAAAACATAATTTTGATTAACTGTTTAACAAATCTAGTTGTCAACAATTACAATGATTTGTATGAAAGCACACTTCAACACAATGTGTATTTGTACATTGTGTTGAATTGTACATTTCCGAGACAATGATTTCTTAATCAATATCAGAGATGTTTCCATTTTGCAAAAGAAAATTAAAAAAAAAACTAAAACAACATTTGTTTTAAAACTTGAGTTTCTAATAATGTCAATTAAATGGTTGGATTGAGAAATATCAAAATCTATCTTTGTGAGTATTGTATCAGTTGTCCCATTGTATTTTGAAAATAGTTAAGTTTAAATGAAAAATATATGCAATATATCAGATCAATTAATAGGGAATGGAACCGGAACAATCTGAAATATTTTTTTTGATAAAATGTTTATCAGTCTTTGCTCTGCCAAACAATAATGAATATATATAATAACAACTTAATTCCTTTTTTAATATTGTGCCAATATTTTCTTAGTATTACTTCTAATATCTAAAACAGTTTAAAATAATAAGAAATCAGATTAACTTCATGAATTTGTTTTGGGATAATTCTTTTGAGTGTCTTAAAAAAAATAAATGCATAATTTGCACCAGGTGAATTACATGATGATAATACTTTAAATATTCTTATTTTTCCTAACATTATTTGCCACTATTTCAATAATCACAGCAGGTGGCAGCATCTAGCTGGCCAATATTGAAAAGCTAAGTAAGATCAGATTTGATTAGAACAGTTTTTCTATAGTAGAAAAATTCCTAATAATTAATAGGGAAATGATGTCTGAATAGTACAAAGCACAAGGATGTCAGGCAAAATTGAATATGGAAGTCACAACTATGGAAGGCAGCCACTTAAAAAGAGTTGTACTTCTTGTCCAGTATGACATAGTCATTCTTTGGATGATGACTATGAATGGGTAGAGTGTTGCTATGAAAACTAACATTAAAGCTCAAGGGACGATGACTGATAACAGTGACTCAGAGGTGTTTCCAAGAATAACAGTCATTTTAGAAGCAGCCAGATCAATAATGGGAGCCATATATCAAGCAGTGAAACAACTCAGAATCTAGACTTTTGCACCAGTACTAAAATAACCAGTAAGAAGGAGACCAATTTTGGAACCAAAATGTATCATCCATTAGAATGGTCAATAGAATAAAGCACTAGATATTATTATAATGTCTTTAATCCATACCTTCAAAACAGAACCCAACGTAGTAAATGTTTTTTCAAGTAGAATACTTAGTAGCTGAGACAGCAACAGTAGCAGTGGATATAGGGTCAATTAATTCAAAATTTCAATGATCAGTAGTTTTATGATATTGGTAGCAAGTGGGATTTACCCTTAATATAAATGCTAGATTTTATCATGGGATTCATCATTGCAAACCAAATACTGTATATTTTACTGCAATATACCGGTATTCCTTCTTTAGATTCTTGAAAATGAATTAGTCATTATTGATAGGACTGATGATATTGAGGCTAAAGTTATCAGTACAAATGGTTTAGTGGTGGCTTTGCTGCCTTTAAGAAAGTATTAGGTATAGACACCATCTTGGTAGTGGTTAATAGCTGAGCACAGAAGTATTAGACTTAATACCTAAAGCATTTTTCCCACAGCAGATTCCACCAATCTGGGCGAATTTATTATGCCATGCCTGGTCTGGCAACTAAGTCAAGTGTTTACAATTAAGCTCAAACACACTACCATAAAGAGTGTCCATCTGGTGGAATTGATTTTCATACTTAGGCATTAGAAGCATATATGATAAAGCAGGAGGGGGATTCAATACTCCATTGCATAGTCCTGTGATTTTATCATATAAAACTTTTATCACATAATTGCTATTACATTGCTATCAGAAATATGCTGGGCTTTCTGAAATATAAAATCAGATTATGGAACATAAGTTTTAAATTAAATTGTTGCCTTTCTTAGAAAATAATGGAATATATCATACCCAGAGTTCAAGGACCCCTAAACTTGTATAATCTAGACCAAATAAATATGTGATGGTACACAGTTAACAAGACACTCAACCCCAAAGTTTAGATATGTCATTGAGGCTGGATATATAGCTCCAGTTCCCACATGGGGTGTCATTTTTGAAAATATCATGCATCACAAATTGTTCAATTAGAGATAATATTTTCACATCTTTTATTTATCCAATTTATATTTAATTTTGATTTGTGGGTTAAAATACTTTTCTCAATCTTGGCAATTTTAAGATGTGTGGATTTCACTTCCCCAGACAGCATGTTGTCTGGACAATTTTGGGAGTTGAAGTCTACACATCTTAAAATTATTAAGATTGAAAAACACTGCAAAAAGATCATATCAGTCAATTCCTTGTTTTCTCTCCATAAGAACAATGTTTTGGGGGGACCAATCACTAGTTGCAAACTACTTCTGAAATCTTTGCTTCCTTCCCAGAGCAAAGAGAAAGTGACTAGCCTAAGGTCACCCAGCTGGCTTTGTGCCTTAAAATGGGACTAGAACACATGGGTCTCTTGATTTCTAATCTGGTACCTTAACTACTACACCAAAGTTACTCTCATGTAGTAGTTAGGCAAATGTCTAACTATTTTATACTTTTAATCTAAAGCCAATGTTTTGTTTTATATAACTACAATAAAGCTAACAAAGGATAAATTTGAGGAGCAAATTGTTAACAAAATATCTTTAGGTTTATCAGAAATGGAAACAGAGATTACAGGATTGCTCAAATTAATATCAAAGTGGCAGAGTATTAAGAAGAAAGACAAGCAGATTACAGAGAATCTGAATCAATTGCATTAATATATATTGTAGGAGAAACTGAAAAATTATTCAGTCGCAAACCTAGATAATAACAGCATAATAGCTACTCTATTTTGGGGATGACAGAGAATGAGATGGCTGGATGGAGTCACTGAAGCAGTAGGTGTGAATTTAAATGGACTCCAGAAGATGGTAGAGGACAGGAAGACCTGGAGGAACGTTGTCCATGGGGTCGCGATGGGTCGGACATGACTTCGCAATTAACAACAACAACAAAGCTACTCTATTTACCCTTGAATTTAAGACAATCTAGTTTTATCAACTCACACTAAAACCAATCCCCCAAGCAATGTATATACTGTTTATTATTTAGCATATGGCATACAATGTTAGGGAAATCTACACATGCTAGACACAATGCAGTCCTGACAGCCTAGATTGCTAATTCATTCTGTTCAGCACTTGCGTGCCTTTTGCAGGAAGGGGGCCAACTACCTTTACTCCAATTAGCTAGCAGTACTCAGATTGCTGGCTCTTCCAGGCTCCTCTCAGTCTTGCCTCACCTTGCCTTGTGTTGTGATGCCTTGATCCAGCACTGGCTTCTACTCTCTGCACACAGGAATGCAGCTATGTTTTTCCCACTGAAGTGGTACAAATTGATCTGCTCACAATATTGCATGCTGGGTGGGCAGGAGCTAAGGATCAAGCAGATCAATCTCATGGAGCCGGGCTTGAACTGCCAGAGGGCAGACCATTTCTGCCTGTCAATTCCAGTGTTATTAAGCCACTGCATCACCATATTCCCTGTATATACTCTGTGTGTCTGTCTGTCTGTCTATCTTTCTGTCTACTGACCAGAACAATGCTCCAAAGCTAATATTAATATACCTAATTTCTGCCACTGACTTCAGTTACTCTTATTCCCAAGTAATTATACAAAGGTGATGCTCTACCTAATCCAATGGGTCTTCTAAATCCAGTTCTTTCATGCAGACTGAATGGAAGCTACAGAGGAAATCATTTAAGTAACAAGGAAATGAATCAACAGATTTCTTAGTGCTAGTTTCAAGTAGAAAGAAACATCTGTATGATCACTCCACAGTAAGCTTTAATCAGCTTTGTGGCTCTTATTCTGAAATAAGTATATATAGGACTTGTTTTCATTAGTTTCATCTCCTTTTCATTTCATTACTTTCATCAGAGTTATCCTATTACCATGTTTTCAGGAATTATATACTCAACACTTCCACAGGAAAAAACAAACAAAACCAAACCCTTGTCTTCCTTTTATGTAAATACTTGCATCAAACAGAATGACAAATGGTTCAATTTTAAGGCAGAAAAATAAAAAAAGAGAAATATATAACAGTTAATAGAAAACCAATAGCTATTAACACCTACACAAATAGAGGAGTAAGAACTAGACACCAATCCTTATTTATTTATTTAAAATAGCTTTTCACTTCAGCTTATCAGGAGAGATCATATAATTTATAAATTTAAAATACAATATCTAGATAAAAATATTTATTAAAAATAAGGAAAAAGGAGAAATCAAGAAATAATTAGTGATTCTTGACAGAAAAAACAAGGAAGGAACATTGTTATTGTTACTGGAAGGGACTAAAGGAAATGGCTACAGGCAACAGACTAATCTCTTCAACTCTTAATATAGCATAGACACAAACACATGGTGGTATAATTGGAAGGACTAAAGGAACAGGTGTTGACCTTTTTCATTCCTCGCTCTCCCAATTTCTCACTGGCAGTCTGTTCCCTTAAATATCTATTTTCTCTTGTCTGGTTTGAAAAAAGCTGAGAGAAGCAGCTTTTTGAAGTGAAAGTATATTAAAAAGAGATAGTAATCAGGGGAATTGTTAAACCCTAGAGGGAACTTGATTTTTAATTTATATTTCTATTTCCATTAAAAAGGTATTAAGAAGATGACATAAATACATTCTATTATGCTGGTACATATGCCAAATTAAGACATTTTTCACAAGATTAATGTAAAAAGTGGCTGACAGCCACTACATAGGACAAACAGGCAGAAGACTGGCAGAATGCATCAATGAACACCAACTAGCATTCAGAAAACACAATGAAAACTCTTTGATTTCACAACATATGGACAGACTTAGCCATAGCTTCACTTGGGAAACTGTGACCATCCTAGACCAAGCCAAGTCCAAAAATGCTTAGGGAATTTCTAGAAGCCTGGTACTCCGACAAATTAGCCATCAATAGACACATAGACATAAACAATATGCAAAAAAACAAGCCAAAAAGGGAACAAAAAGACGAAACACCTCCCTACCAGCAATCAGTACCCAGATGAGCATAGATTAACTCAAAGATTAACATCAGACCAACAATCAAGTAAACAATACCCCAATCAAGGAACTGCCAAACAAGCCAACAATAAACAGTCCAACCAGAGAACCTCTAAGACCACCCAAAGGTAAGCCACTAGAATATAAACTGAGAGCAAACCCCATTCCTTACTAACATTGATGATGTTACCTAGTTTGGGTAATGAAATGTCTGCAAGAACAACCAAAGTCAGAAAACACCAAGGACCTGTCATTTCAACCTTGAGCTACAAATATTCTCCTTTATTAGTACAGACAAGCCACTTATGAACTGGCTAACTCCAATACATATTGATAGCTAAAAACTATACAATTTTACTTGATGGTGTATTAGTGGGTTGATTTTATGGTATAATAATAGTATATTAGGATGGGCTTATTTATCATTTTTGGTGAACAAAGAAATTAAAATTGTGCCCCTCTCCAAAGAATGTGGGTAGTAACTTTTTGTTAACAGTAATGTTTCTATTAACATAAACAACATATGTTTCCTTTTATTATATTATAAACATTTCAGATATTTCTATTTAGCTTAACTTTCAATATGGTTAGAAGCTAACTTACCTCCAGCACAAGTAGCAGAGCACTCTGACCAAGGGAGGTGATTCCATGTGAAGCCAACTTCATTGTCACCACTGCCAGTACGAGAGATGGGAACATTGAATTTATACCTTATCCCCAGATTTTGCTCCTGTAGTAAAATCTGCAGTTGAAAATAACTGGTTTTATCATTAAAACACTTTGGTATATTAATACTGTATATTAACAATTAGTTACTTTGAGTTTGATTTTTGAGAAAAACTTTGAACATTGGTACAGATGTTTCTAAAATTTAAGATAATTTACTTTAGTTGTTTCAAATTTAAATGTTGGAGTGCTCCCATCCAATGGGGCATTTGTCATAACTTCTAAAGCATAGGTGTCCAACCTTTTGGCTTGCCTGGGCTGCACTGAGTGAAGAGGAATTATCTTGGGCTGCATATAAAATATAACAAATGATATTACTTATAAAAATCACATAATAATTTTAAAAGTGTACAATCTTGTGAAGCTACATTATTAGCTGTCCAGAGCTGCATGTGGCCCACATGCCATGGGTTGGACACAACTGCTCTAAAGACTGACAGAAAAAGAAACAGCTAGTATATAAATACATGTTTATTACACAGTACCTAAACTTGACAAATAAAAATAATAATATTCCAGCAATATTCTGAATAACATATAAATCTGAAAATATTTGAGATGAAATGAATAACTACTTATGTTACCATAGAAATATAGTAGGTTTAAAAAGAGAATTGAATCATAATTGATAAAGCATGTAGGCAGTCCTTAGTTAATAAGGGTAACTGGAACCAGAATTTATGTTGCTAAGCAATGAGTCTTTGGGCACAACATCATGTGACTGCATTGCTGAGTGACAGCTATCCTGAGAGTTCTCATTGCTGTTGTTAAGCTAAGATTAGAAGTCATTAAGTGAGTTCAGGTGGCTTGCAAGCAGGCCAGCAAGTAAGGTCTGGCGAGGTCAGGGGTAGATTTTGCTGGGTGAGGAATGGTGTGCCGGTGGCCAGTACGATGTGGTGAGGCCTTAAGTGACTGCTGCCAGGCACAGGAGAATGTGCAAATGGTCTGCGAGGTGCAAAGGTAGGACACAGGGCTGGAGGTGGAACAATGATTATAATACAAATGATATTTTCTGAAGGAGTATCTGGGTAACATAGAAAAGAGGCTCATGAATAATACAGAAAACTAGATTATCTCTTAGATAATCAATAAAATGAAATAATTCATACTTTACCATAACTATAAGGTTTTCTGAAGTAGGACCCAAAGCTTCCAAAGATTCTGCTTCATCAGCTGGTCTTTTGTAATGGAAAGCTGTTCCAGCAACATCAAATTTTCTAGGCCAATCAATAGTCCAGGCTCCATTAATATAATAATCATCCTCCTCAGTTTTCAAAGCTTAAAAAAAGTTTAAATGGTATGAAGATAGAAATCATTTAGAATGTATAAGAACATTCATTAAATATCAAAGCAATATGAAGAAAAGTGGAAGTTATATCATAGGAACCATAATTTCCTAAAACATGCTTGCTTTCTGTGGCCTAGATGGAAAATGGATATACATTATTAATGTTGTTCAAAATATAGAAAAATCCTCTACAATGGAAACCAATGGCTTCACTTAAGGGGTCTGATGGAGGAACCAAGAGTAGTATACAAAAGATCCTAAATTTAAATTGCTTAAAATTCAAAACAACTCCATTTGAAACAGTTCATTTTGCTTTAAGCAGAATGGTTTTTTTATTATTATTAAAAGTTTTAAAGATTTTGTACAATATATATCCCAAATCCCTCCCACCCCTCCCACCTCCCCCACTTCCCAGAGCTGATTACAGGGTTACAAATAAACAATCATAATCTAACTAACATTACCTAACTATACAAACAGTCAAATCCATAACATACTTTAACTCCTTTTCAAAGTAAATATTAACAAATTAAATACAAAAATAATATAATTAAACCATAAAACTAAGAGTAATATAAATTCTATCATATTAAACTATTAGTAATAATCTGAAATTTACTCATAAGCTAGATAATACTTTTTAGTCTCATATTTATTCTGCATATAATCTATCCATCTTCTCCAAACCGAAATATATCTAAGCAGAATGTTTTGATCATTCTGGAAGTGTTTCAAGCTTAATACTAAGTTTTCTGCTATTGCAATATTTTAAAAGTTGAATTAAATTTGTAAATTAATCAATATTGTAATTTTAATTACTAAATATCTTAAGAGTGGACAAAATATGCTTTAATCAGCTAACTAGTTCTAGTTTTTATAATGCAAAATATTCAAATCATATGGGTGAGGAAGGGACGACTGCCTGCTCCCCATTTCAGTGCTTTTTTAATGAACAACTGCCTTCTGACACTGGAAAAGATTTGACCAATAAATGATTCAAAATAAAGGCTTTTAAATCCTTATATTTAACATATATACTAAAAATAATTAGTTCAAAGGGAAAATAAAATTTGAAAAGTAGTTTACAATCAGCATAAATTGATACATTTAATTGTTTTAAATCCAGAATCAAGTTTACAAATGAGCTGTACCAATGTTAGTTTTAATTTGCTCAAAATATTTCACAACGCAGAACGCAATGCACGCTTTCTCAGAAGTGTATGTTTAGTGTGATTAATTCTTGGCTAAATATATATGGTACAATGGTATACATTTATTTTTCAAATAAATCTTACTTGTTTTTAGCTATTATTTTGTCATAATCCAACTGCAACTTTAGTTTTCAAATTAGAGTGGATTTTCTAATATTTTGTTTGTTTCAGTTTCCATTCTATAACAAAATAGCTATAGACTAAAATAATAAACATTCCTCAAGAGTGTTACCATGTTACGTGGTGCTAATTAATAAACAACTACATTACTATGTGTGTAATATGATCTTCTAGAGCTTGGCAAGAATACTTTGTGGTGGGTATTTGTATGCGAGCAATATTTCAAAAGGAAGGAAAGAAGGGATAGCAAATCTGCTCAGAAAATTTTTTCTTTTTTTTCTTCCAGTAATAAGTTAAGAAGGTTTATCATCTGTCACATTTATTATTGGATATGAAATAAAATGCCTGTACTGAACTTGTTATTTTCCTCTTCAAACAAGAATTAAACATTTATTCTTGGCTTTATGATTCCAGCTTATGGGAAAATTATGTATAGCAAGTTAGATACTATGTTTGAGAAATCATAGATAGAAATTTTAGTTTCTGAATTCTTCAGTAACTTTAACTAACATCAGAAACCAGGTGGAAGTGCTTAAACAGAACTTCTATCTGCAGTATATACTTTCTTACTCCTAATAAACCAAACAAGGTCATAGACCAGCGTTTCTCAACCTGAGGAACTCTAAGATGTGTGGACTTCAGCTTCTAGAATTTTCCAGTCAACATCAAATCTACTTATATGTTTACTATCTGAAAGCAGTAGAAATAAATTAATTGAAATACTAACTGTTCCAGAAATTTCTGGAAGCAAGAAACAAATACAAATTTTCTCTAGCTTTGCTAGCATTACTAGTCTCAGTTTTAAAACACTGACAAAGTGCTTCAGAGAAATCATTATGTCATTCCTACAAAGAGGAAACATTTGACAAGGAAAGAGATTCATAATTAATTTATATCAATGTGGCAAATGGCAGTGATTCCAAAGCAGTAACATATTTGCATATATCATCAGACAAACACAATCATCTGACTAAATACATAAATGACATTTGTATTAAGATATTGTAATGCATGTTTCATCATTTAGGCCACTCCCTATTTGATTCTATTTCTGCTATAATGATGGAAACAAATGCAAGTTAAAGGATCTGCTGTAGTTTGTTTTTTAATAAAAGACTAGTTAGAAATTTTATAAATAAAACATAGTGTATGTATGTATTTTATGTATATATGTATATATTTTATGTATATAGTTTTTGTCTTCAGCTAGGAAGTATATAATTTGGACTGAGAAAGTAGACATAGAGATGAAAGTGGACATAGAGAAGTTCCTTCCCCTTTACTGTGATACTAATGGAAGTTATCTTCCAAGTTTAATACAGTACCAGCTTTCAATGTAAATATTATCAGAGCCACAGCAGGAAGAATGTTAGCTCCTGTCTCCCATAATGTGTCTCAATCAGGTTTTCATAGTGTTTCTTAAAACAATATCAAAAGACCCCAGTCACATATATATTAAACCAGTTTGGTGTAGCAGTTAAGGCATCAGGCTAAAAACCAGGAGAGTGTTAAGTGGACAGCATTGGGTTAGTCTCTCTCTATGAGCCCTGTGGAAATGTCAAACCACTTACAAAAAATTCCTTGCCAATAACAGGGCAGGGACTAGTATAGGCAGTTGCCAGGTGACAACTGTGACTTGAAGGATCATTCCCCTCCCCAAAGTCAGTGCAGCCAGTGCAATGCTATTATATGGAATCTATCTGAAAGTTCTTTGAACTCAGCAACATTTATCAGATTTTGTAATCATGAGATCATTAACTTACCAATGTAGTTTTTTGACACTGCCACTTCTTTGATTTCGATGTGAACAGAACCTTTAGGAATTTGAACCACTTCCATGTAGCCTATAAAGTAATCAGGGCAATTGTTTCACTGATAAAAGCAATAGTTTATAACAAATGCAATTAGATAGCAAGAATTCAAAAGATCTTAGTGTTATTTCTTATTGCAATCAAGACACAGAGACCCATTGTTCCATTACAATGATGGAAATGTAAGAAACAGAAAAAAAAAACACTTTACATATTTGCTTTCAGTTGTATGACGAGTAGCTATTTCACTATAATTTTACAGTTCATCAGAGAACAATAGATAATGGATCTGGGATTGATATAAGGAAATATATCTAATAAGTACTCTGGAAAGAGTGTACAAGAGTAAAATGGCAGCATCCAGGTGGCTATTGCCTAATCTATTTTTAAATAGTTGTCAAATAATAGTAATACAGCTTAGATCCTGTGACAATACCTTAACACCATCAAACAACAATATCTGCCTATCCCAGGTTCTTGGAAAGGACTCAATAGATGGAATGAAAATCACAAATCCATTTTAAGCATATGGTTGACTGTACAATCAACCGCAATAATAATAGTATAACCACAATAATAATAATAGTATAAGCTTTGAGACTCACCCCCTCTCGGCAGTGTATCATTGAAAAAACCTTCAATAGCTTCACATGTACTCCCATCACCACCACATACCCGACACCTGTCTTCTTTAGCATCAGATCCCAAAATATTGTCACATCCAACATGCTGAAAATGGGTACAGTCAGAATAACTATACAATAAGGGGATTTAGTGTTAAAAGTAGGTTGTTAATGTTCAAATTAATGGCATTCTTAATTGTTGAAATTCCTCCTTCTTTATTGAAATCACTTTTAATTCATTTAGCAAGAAGTACCATTCTTTATTTCTCTGCTCTATGATCCATATATTCAAATCTAAATGGTTTCTCACAATATTTGAGAGGGCTATTTAATATCACACTAGTATAGAGTGCAGGTAGAATTGTCTCTTAAACGTCTAGATGGCATGATATTCAATTCACAAAAATATCTTTTTTATAGCCTCTTAATACACATCTTTATAACCAGCTAACTTTAGGATTGATAAACTTTTTGTCATATAATCCTGCAATATTTTATCATATCCTTTGCAATTCTCTTTTACCTAAAATGAACTAAAATTAAATTGCTTACTATCAGGCAAATTATTCCAGCTGCATTTTTATAATCTGCCATAATTTTTTGCTCATTTTCTGGTTTGCTAGCAGGTGAATTTGCAAGATGCTGCCTGTGTTTCCATTTTAAATGACAGAGATCATATTCAGGGCTTTCCAATTTCTCAATTGTGTGAGATGGCTGTTTTCATTTAGAAAGCTTGTTGCTTTTTGTCATAATTGTTTAAATCATGTGAGCAGTTTTATAACATTTATAAAGAAACTTGAGATAACTCTGGTTGGAATCCTCATTCACTGCAGTTCATATTTAGCAGATAACATATATGAATATAAAGAAGCCCTTTAAGAGTATTTCGAGATATATGCTTAAAATATAATGTAACAAGGACATTTATAAGGAAATTGCATGATCTAACAGAAAGATTGCACTTTTGTTTTTTCAATTCCTATGCCAAAGAAAAAGAGAAGAAAGAAGAAACTATTTTCCTGTAAAAAGTAAGCTGAAGGGAAAAATTCAACAGTACAAATCAGCTTTCCAATCAGAGAAAAACAAAGCAGAGAGAAATAAAAAAGAAACTGTTGCTTCCTTGCTATTTCTCGCCCTGCTGGCTCTAAGTTGTCTATAAGACAAATGAGGTAAAATGTCAGTGCTTCTGGAACTGTAGTTCTAAAATATTAATAAAGGCAGTTTCTTGACAGCTGTTTCCTTAGAGGATGTTGCAGTATAGGAATATTTTAAATTACTTTTACTTTTGTGTAATGTTCATGTATTGTACCTTGCATTCTCCATTGATACAAATATCCAGGGAATCTGCATTGCACTGTGTTCCGTCTATAACTGCAGGAGCACGTTCAGTATAGAAGTTATAACCTTCTGCCAAACAGTTTAATGCACATGGCTTAACCCCACCTAGACAAATAAAACATTTTAAAAGATCAAATTCCAAAGCTTGAAGTATTATATACAATTTAATATTAATCTTTTTTCCCAAAAAATTATGTCACTGATTTTTTTTTCAACAATTTTTCAAAAGATTAATGAAGTTGTAGAATCAAGACTGATAAATAGATTTCATTAATTGAACAAGACCTAAATATTTAATAAGTTATCAAACAGTATTAAATATTGCCTTTATGGCATAGACTTTTCAGATAGCTTACTGGATTCCAATAACAATATTGTGCTTTGGCTTTGTAGACCTTATCCAGACAGTTGTTTTAACATGTCTTCCTCAAGTCTGTGATGTGATACAAAAAAAATTTACTCTGTCCTGACAGCCTCAGTTACAAGGCTGATAAGTGGAATTGACAGTCCTTGACTTACAACCAGTCGCTGCCTGACTTATGCTGAGCTCTCCAAAAACGTTATTTCATTTCCTTTAAAACATTTATATAGATGCTAATCTTCCAGAAACTCTGGGCAGCACCCAATCTAAGATTAAAAGATTCAAGTGAAAATTATCTACATGCATGATTCAGTTCTATATGAAATTCAGCAAGGGTAGCCTTTGTCTCTCGAACTCTGACAAATCTAACACTGCACAATCAGGTATGACCATCTGCAAAAGGACAGTTCAGAGTTATGCAGTATTTCAGAAATAATTTGGAAAAGGGTCTTCAAAGAATATGGGGGGGGGTGTTAATGGAACATGACACCTGCCTTCAACTCTTTAAAGCAATTTCATCTTTTCTGATATCAAATGACTACTCTCTGAAACTGCTATATGATCCAAGAAAAAGAAACAATTGTTTTAAAGGTCTGCAGACAGACACTATGCTCATACCTTGAGCACTCCAAAACACCTTTCTGAAATCAAATCTAAAGCCTGTAAAGCCCTGGTGCATATATCCATATTCTCAAGGTCTTCTTAAGAGAAACTAATATCCTGCCTTCCCTGGGCAGGACCTAGAGCCTGATTATAGCTAAGATTACAGAACTTCACATACCTCCTGTATATGGTTTCCAGTTGTAAAATTTTCCTCGAAATGGCATATTATCAAAGTCTGCACACTGTTTTTCTCGAAAATCACGGGCTCCAAGAGGACACGGCTAAAAAACAAAAATGAAAACAAAAAAGGGATGAACGTGAAATTTGAATATACACATGAAGTGCATTTTTAATTAAATATGAAAGTTATCATAGATGCTAACTATGATAACAGCCTCTGGTGCACATTCAGTAGTGTGATGTTCTCCCATTGAAGCCCCAAGTTATCTGTAAGAGCTAAGTCTTCAAACCCTTATGGAAGTCAGAAGGGTGGAAGCTGATCTCATCTCAGGAGGTAAAATGTTCCAAAGAGCAGGAGCCATAGCAGAGAATGCCCTTCTCCTGGACCCTGCCATCCAGAATTCCTTGACTAATGGAGCCTACAGAATGCCTCCTCTGCTGGTGTGGATGGGGTGCGCCAGTCTCAGTGGGCTGAGATAGTTCTTCACATAACCTGGACCCATGCCATGCAGGGCTTTCGAAGTAATAGCCAACACCTTTAATTGTACCTAGAAGCAAACTGCAGCCACTATAGCTTGTGTAGCAGTGGTGTAACTCCTGTGCCACTGCACTCTGCACTAGTTGAAGCTTCCAAATGCTCTTCCAAGGGTAGCCACATGAAGAGTGCATTGCAATAAGTCCAGACATGAGAGGACCAGGACTTGAATAACTGAGCACTGGGACTCCCAATCCAAGAAAGGCTGAAACTGGTGCATAACATGAAGTCGTGCAAAACCTTTCCTAGCCACAACTGACAATACATGATAGGATATCATATCTGAAACACCTTTATATACTAAAATATTTTTCTCACAATAATAAGAAAAATAGGAAATACTTATTTAAAATAAACTCAAATTTTTACCATAAAATTATTTGCTGTAGCTTATATTCTAAGCTTACCAAAGAACATCAGTAAAAAAATTAAGTACTTTCTAAATGACTTGAATATCTAATATATATACAATGAAATGCAACAGACACATTTAAGTCAAAGGTTTATTGATACGTTTTACAAAACAAATGTAACTTTGAATTTTTATGTATATGAAATATGTAATGTACTTATATATGTTTCTATTATTTATGATTTACATCTTTTACTGAGAATAACTATTCTCAATATCTTCTTGTTAGATCCCATTTTCAGTATTGATGGGTACATGTTGAGTTCTATACTGCATGTACTTGCCCTTTATGTTAAATAAACAAAATTCTGAAAAGTGCGATGGCTCTATGGCTAGAACAGAGACTTGACAATTGGCAAGATGGAGTTTGAGACTCAGGGACTATTACTTGCCCCAACTCCTGCCCACCTAGCAGTTCGAAGGCATGTACAAATGCGAGTAGATAAATAGGTGCCACTTTGATGGGAAGCTGCAGGGGGATGAGAGAGGGAGTCCCCATTGGATTCCCAAGGCAATGGTGATGTCACTGCCTAATACTTCTCAACCCAGAAGTGCCTTGGTGGCTACTTCTGGTCCCGTCAGCTGCCGAACATCTACTATTTCTGATGCAGCAGATTACCGCCTTTCTGTAAATCACCATAAGCTAAATAAATAGCAAAATTCTAACCAATCTATAAGTACATTTGATTACATTTCAAGTTAATTTTGATCTACTCACATCAATATTACAAGAGCGATATCGTTTCCTTTCTCCAAGGCAATATTTTCCCCCACCAGAAGGTCTGGAAGAAATAGTTTAAATTTTATTAATATATATATATATATATATATATATATATATATATATATATAAAATATTTTTCAAGAATTTTAGACTGGACGCTATTAATATAGATGGCAAAAATATTCATAAATGATTTAAAAATTAAAATATTTTGTTTAATACTTGTTTCTTGGTTTATCACTATTTAAAAATGTAGAAATACTTATTTTTCTTCTAATTAGTTAAATAAATTATAAACATCTGAATTCAGCACCAATAAAAATATAATTTATAATGTTCCATTTTAACAAGTTGTTTCATTTAGATCTAAGCATTTACTTGCTACTCCAGGAAATGTTTAAAACAAATAATGTTTTTTGAAAATATTATTTTCTATTATTATATAGTACTGATATTAAAATAAATAAGATGTTATTTATATGAATTCATGCCTTATACATTTATATAGTATTGCAGTCTCTGGAGACTTCAGTTGTATATTAAGAAGAAAGACGCATTTTGTTTAAAAAGATGATTTGCAAATACATTCTAACTGGGTATTGGTACACTGAATCTAACTCCCAACTGTTAGGCTATGGCCATTAGTAAACAGGTTTGAAAAGTTCTACACTGGTGCTATGGTATGCAAGAATAAACTTGGAAGACACCATACTCAGGATAATGCTCAGATAAGTGGCAGCTTAGCCTGCAGAAGGAATGTGGGTGGGTCAAATATCTCAGAAGAGATCTGCCCTAGTTTCTTGGGCTGTAAAGGTAATGGCGGACACTTGCAAGATTTTGTTAATGTAACTTTGCAATAAAGTAGAGAACATTTCTGGGTGTGCTTGTTGTCTAGACTACTTGAAAGGCTGACGAAGAAAGGTATGTCTCTTCCCTCCCTGCCAGCTATACATAATGTCAGTGAAGAAACCAGCAGGAAGTCGGAACTCACAATCACATGAAGTTTTCACTTAATGATCCATAATGATTCACTTAATGACAGTAACCGGGGCTTGCCAAAACTGCTTTTGCTAAACAATACAGTCACATGATATTATGCTTTATGACTGAATCACTTAGTGACAGAAATTCTGATCCCAATAACCATAATTAATCCTTGCTTTCTTTCCTTTTCATCTTTGTTGCAGGTAAAATGGTTGTTCTACTTTCCTTCCCATTATAAAGGTTACAGAACCCAAGTATCCTGAAGATCTAGGCCAGGCATGTCAAACTTGTGATGTCACGTGATGCCACGCGACGTATCATGACTTTTTCCCCATCGCCAGCAATGGGGTGGGTGCGGTTTCAGCGTGACACATCTGGCCCACGGGGCGGCAGTTTGACATGCCTGATCTAGGCTCTATCTGTATTTTCTTTTGCAACCATACAAAATAGGATGCAGATTATGAGATAAGAGTATCAGACATCAAATGTAGAAACTATTTATGATAATCTAGTCATAGCTCAGATCCTACAGATGAATTGTGCATTAATGTACAGCTGACAGAAAACATGTAAGACACACAATGTATAACTATTGTCAATATAAATAGTCTACCATATAAAATATTTTTTAAGTTTTCATCCTTTTTAAATTCTCTTTTTCAGCTTTTTGTGCTCTGTAAGTTCCTGATCTGAGTTAAATTGTCAAGGATCTACTATGTTTCACATTTTATAGTTATCACTCAAGGGTGGTATGGAGAAGCATGGGAATTACTGTAATATTTGTATTATGTAATTATAAATTCTGGGCATAACCAGAATATCCTAGTTATTGAAATTACTGGAATTTACCACACAATTTGCAAAATACTTTCTCCCTATTGACATAAATCTAAAAATGACTATAATAGATGTGAGTAAAAGAAACACGTTATATGAATTAACTCAGTAAGTAAAGCTGTTTCACATAACATTTTGGCTAGTTTTTGAGGAATCACAAAAAATATGGAGAGAATTTTTTTTTAATGAAAGGATAATAAAATAGCAGATGTAAACATAAGGTTGGAAACTAGCAAAGGGGATGAAGATGTACAAGAGACAAAAATGCATGAAGATGGCAGGTTTTGCACAAAGTCATGTAAAATTCAATAAATAACTATAAATACAGTCTGGCTGTTGGTACAAGGCAACCTCATTTAGAGGCCAACTGCAAAATTCTCATAATTCTCTCCATACTAATAAAAGGATTAAGAGAAGATATTCATCTTAAAAAATCTGTCAAACTATACTTATTTTTTTATTTTTTCCAAGTCAACAGAAAATTTGAAATTAATTATTCTGTTTTTATCAGCAAAATAACTCTCTGAAAACTGAATAGAATGGGATCAAATTTGGTATGAGAAGCTAGGAGTTTAGAAATCAGCCAGATACACCAAGGGGCTGAAGAAGCTTCTTGGATGAGAAGCAAAACGTTTTCAAAGAAAAAAACCCAAGAAAGTCCAGTTTAGAGAAATCACCTTTGGGACAATCCAGATTTCTCCAATGCCTTGCAATGGGAGAGGCTGTTGGGTAATGTTGATGTTTGATATTTGAGAAGGTCTACATTAAAAGGAATTAATTAACTCTTAGATTTTAAAAATGGAGGAAGAAATTATTTGTTAAGTATAACATGTAAAATCTATCTGTGCTTACTGCATATAATCAAACATTTAAAAGTATGTAAAAAGTAATTTTTTTCTAGGTAGTTGATATGGGTTTTTGTTTTAAAGGTAGACTGATATAGCACAAGCATTTTGACAAATAACATATGAATCCACATTTAAAATTATTTCCAAATATGTCCTTTATGTTGATGATGGCTTACTTTAGCTACTTACGCTAGACTGTCACAGAAGCATTTTGACAAATAACATATGAATCCACATTTAAAATTATTTCTAAATATGTCTTTTATGCTGGTGATGGCTTACTTTAGCTACTTACGCTGGACTGTCACAGTGCCTTATGGATGATGAGACTCCTCCCCCGCAGGTCCTACTGCATTCTCCCCATATTGACCAGGGACCCCAACCCCCATCTATGCTCTGGGGCCAAGTGCCAAAAGGGACGCACTCTCCCTGATAACACCACTGAAAAGATTGCATAAAAATAAAGAATTAGCTTTTGATTAATAAAATATTCAAGACAGTAAAATATATATAACCAACAATAGGCATCAACATTTGTTGCACTGCTAACCTATATAAACTTTATTTCATTTAACCCTGTTAAGTTATAGGTGCAGAAAAATGCTACTTGCTTTTATCTTTGACCAAAACTGAATCATAAAGACCTAATTAACAAGCTAGCATTTTCCATTTCATAAATACAGTCTTACTATCTCTTGTTAAAATAAACTGCAAAAAAATTAAAATCTTATTTAAATATTATGAATCATTCTAAGTGTGTTTAAGCACACCTGTATTAGGGCTGTATTATTTAACAGAACAACAAAGAAATTTTTTTGTAAGAGCTATTGGCTATCGGATCTCCATTAAAACAAACAAACAAAAAACCATACTGAAATAGAAGTGATGTTACAACGGAAGATAAACTTGAAGCACTATTTCATTAATATAATAAAAATAATGCCAAGATACTAGAAGGAATCTAAATATTTATACACATAATTGGCCAATTTTTCAGAGTGTAAATGATTATCTGGATTAAAATATTAAAGTTTTAAATGTGATTTTTGTTATTAAAATTATGAGACATTAGGTTAAACAACTATATTACTTAAACTAAATTTATTCACACGATATTAAACAAAATAATGAAGTCCTAATTTAAGACAAATATCTTATTTTGCTTAATAAAATCGAAGGAACACATGCAAAAAAATTAAACATATCTATTTCCTATGAAAACAGAGTTTTGCCATTATGTGTCATATATATATATGCATACTTAGATCATACAATTCACCTTTTGCATAATATTTTATAAGCATAAAAAAGAAGAAAATAATAAAATAAGTGCAAGAGACAAGAAAAGGAAATTTAGGTGAATCTAATGTCATTCACTGTATCTTGCCGTATGTTTTTGTTCTTGCAAATCATTTTTGCCATATATATACATCATATACGATGCGGTATATTATAGCGTTATTATAATGGCACTGAACAAAGAAGAAAGGGGAGAAATCCCAAATGCCAGTAAAAAAGGTTTTTATTTGCGTGATACATTTTGAAAAATCATTTTTGCCCCAAGGACCTATACCAGGGTTCTCAACCTATGGGTCGCAACCCCATTTGGGGTCGATCGACCATTTTACGGGGGTCGCGAAACAACGCGATCTGCCATTTTCCCCCCCAGGGGGCGGCAACCCCATGCGCGGCGCGTCCGTGTGACGGGGTCGCCGTCACACGAAGATTGAGAATTGCTGACCTATACAAATATCAATAATACAAAAAAGGACACTAAAATGATTGGTGTCAAACATAAAATATTTAGAAAAAGAAAATTCTCATGTATAATTAAAACAATTCATATATATCTAAAACAGATACAAGCAGTCAGATTACAGTATTTGTAAAAAATGTGTTAGATTATAGAAATAATATATTAAAGGTAGAGGATCAGTAAGATTATTTTCTCTTCTTACATTCAAGATGCTGATGGGATCATTCAAAAAGCATATATACTGGAAACTTTCCATGACTCTGAGCCATCTAGTGCTTTAAAGTGATAATCAAGACCTTGAATTGCACCTTCTAGTGCTTGGAGCCAAGAGAGAAGCAAGAATACCAGAAATTAAGTTGATCATAATAAGGGATTGATGAATTTATTCCTGATTTTCAGATCATATCTCAATTGCTCCATGATAAAAAAAAACTAGTTCCAATATGTGGCATCCTATACAGGCAAGGCCCAAGAAACTTTTGGGCAATGGTAGTCATAAATTCTTTGGCTGCCTTCTCATCTAGGGATGGTAAATTGAAATCTCCAAGTGCCACAACTCTGGGGACTCCAACAACAGTTCTGCTATGAGGTGCAGCAAACCCAGTAAAGGGATACAGCTGTGCAGCAGGCACACTCTCAGTTTATCTCACATCCAGCTATCTGTGGAACAGTTCCACTGCCAGCTGCAGGGTCTTGCATATGCCAATCACAATTCTGCCATCTTGATTATGGGGCTGAGGCTGACAGAATTAAAAGAGCACATTTCTCTTTAGTGAAATATGTCTATTTATCTCTATTAATTTTTATTAATTAGAATCTGCCCACTTCTCTACATTCACAATATCCTTTGGAAATTTGTCTCCTCTATATTATGGGTTATTCTATCTTTTTTATTATCTGCATCCTTCATAAGAATTCCTTGTATTTCTTAATATAAGCCATTAATGAAAAAAATGAAAAATACTAGAATCTGATCTGTGGCACTCCAACTGATACATTATTCAGTGTTGATGAGGAAATGTTAAAGAGTAAAATTCAAACTGGATGTAGATATTCTCAAATCAATATGCCATTTTCCAATATGTAACTGTTTTGTTTGACAGAATGTACTCAAATACTTTGTCAATGGTGTTTCTAAAATTAAAATAGGTCTACAGCACTTCCACAACCTTTTAAAAGCTGATGGAAAATGAAATAAAGTTAATATTTCAAAATCTGATCTTAATACATTCATGTTGACTTTGTGTAAATACTAAAAATTGTCCAACATGGTAACTTTATGTTATGATCCAGAAACTTCTGAAATGTCAAATCACAATGACTGACCAATCTCCCCCCCCCTTTTTTTCTTTTTTCAAAGATTGGAACAATATTTGCTTTGCCTTCCTTTCATTGCCTGACAATTGAGAAGTTTTTAGGGCTCACCATTATTTGTAACTATGATTCAATAGCCATCAAAGACTAGCCCAAATCAATAGGCTACAATTTGCTCTGCTGTTGTATAAGCAGAGAATGCTGATCAAAACCACAAGTACAATCTCATTTCCAAAAGAAAAGTAAAATTGTCATATTATAGCACGATATCCAAATGTGCTGAATAATATTTGGCTAATACCACATAGTTGCTTTGGCTGAAAGATCCAAATGACACAGAAGAGGGAAACAAATTACACATTTAACAATATTTCTGAAATACGAAATAAAGTGTCAAGAAACCACTACATAAAGCCAGTCCGAATGTTTGAATCAAGTAACATACTCTCCTTTTTAAATAATGCATCAAATCAACCCATTTTAAAAAGATGTACATTTCTGTCAAATGATCATCTTAATAACTTAGAATACAGGCGAAAAAAATCTGTCTTGAAATATCTATACATAGACTCTGCCCATTTTAATCCTCTGACTAATCCTTAATAGTTGTTTCTTTTCTCCTTATAATTATGTGAGGTGAGAACCTCCAGTGTTCTTTGATTCCTGAAGGGTGATAAGAATCAGTGTATACTTAGTTCTGTTCTCTAGTCTCAAGACTATCACCAATTGAAAATGAATGTATTTTTTTCCCAAGCTGATCTTGATTTTGCTAAAGTGAGTTTAAACTATCTATTTCACAAGTGTGGTCAAATGCTTGGTATCTTTAGTAAGCAATTTGAATTTAATTCAAAACAAATAAAGCAAGAATAATCAGAAAATTGTACGATTCTGGGATGGAATTAGCTATCTCCAAATGACTCACATTTAAACAACCAGCTCTAAAGTAAATGGAAATGTGTCATAGATATATAGAATAATGAGATAACTCACATTGCTCTTTTGTCAGTTGAATTAATTCAGAAAAATATATATACAGTGTTAGCACAAAAGATGTATTCATTTCTTATACTATTTCAATTAATCTTTTTTTCTTTAATAACTAAGCTATAAATTATCTGCTTGAATTTCTTTCAATTTTAAGAGAAGTATCTGGTGTTCCAGTCTCCGTGCTGGATCCCTGTGCTGTTCAACATTCTTGTCAATGACTTGAATAAAAGAGTTGAGGGAACACTTAAACACTTTGCACACAGTTGGGAGAATAGCTAACACTTTAGATGAAAGAGAAAATAAAAGTCCAGACAGACTGAAATGAATAGGATGGAATTTAAACCTCCAGGGTAAATGTAAACTTCTGCATTTTTGTAGGAAAAATGTAAGTCACAAATATAGGATGAGATAGGCCAAGTTTGGCAGTATTTCATATGAAAGAATCTGGGTTTCCTTGTTGTTAACAAGTTAAGCATGAGCCAATACTGTGATGCAACCAATAAAAAGGCAAATGATATCTGGGGGGTCATTAATAAGAGAACAGAATTCTGATCACAGGAAATAATTGTTCTGCTCTAATCTACCCTTCACAGACTCCATTTGGAATACTGTGTCTAGTTGAGCCTATCTTCCATTATGATCTATTAAACAACTAATTTTATAAAAAGAGGAGATGAATTTAATATGACATAATTTGCTCATGACAAATTTATGTTGGCTCTTGTTAACTGTTGCATTCCTATCCAAGTGGTGATAAATATGCTGCTTAATGATACGATCAGGATTTTGCTCAACTGACAGGTCTTTACTTTCCCAAGTTGTTGTTCTTCTCTTTTTTGTAGGTAGAGATAATGTTTGCTTTCCTTCAATCCTCTGGGATTTTGCCAGTTTGCCAGGAATTTTCAAAGATTTCCTTTACTGATTTACAATAATCTCCATTAGTTTCTTCAGTAACCTATTCATTCAAATTAGCTAAGTAATCTTTTACCTTTTCCTTGTCTATCCTGAGCTGCAGCTCTTCCTTCCATTAGTGGCACAATGATGGCCAGCTAAGGCTTCCTTTCTCTTCTGAGAGAAAACAGATGTAGAATATAAGTTAAGACATTCTGCCTTACTGCCATCACCGTTACTAATTCACTCTTGCTACTGTAAAGACTTTCTCCCTTTTCTTTTATTCCTGGCATATCTGAAAAGTGTTTTTTGTTGTTTTGGGCATTTCTCACAAGCCTCAGCTCTTTCCTCATTTGGCTTTCTATCAAAATTTACAATTTCTGGCAACTGCTTTGTATCATTTTTGGCTATACTGCCTGCCTTCATTTATATATATATATATATATATATATATATATATATATATATATATATATATATATCTGAGGTTTTTGCGGGTATTTGTATGTAGGTCTTTGGTTGTTCGGGTTTTCTCCCGCGTAAAATTGGAAGTGTCTTGGCGACGTTTCGACGAAGTCCCATTCGTCATCTTCAGGCTGGTGTTTTCAGCTTCATGCTTTGAGCAGCAAGCTGCTCAAAGCATGAAGCTGAAAACACCAGCCTGAAGATGACGAATGGGACTTCGTCGAAACGTCGCCAATGGTCACTTTCTCCCAAGGTTCAAAGCACCCTCACTTTTTCAATCATTTCCTCTCAATCAATAAGGATTAGGTTATTTCTTCCATCTTCACAAGAAATTTCAAATGAAATTGTCAACAATATATTCAAAGTTTTTTCACAGTGTCACTAATTCCCATGTAAATATTTAGAAAATATGGATAACTGTAAAATAACATATACCTGCAGTGTCATACCAGGTCTATGTATTGTAGTCTCAAACTGAGCAGAGAATCACATGTCACAACATCTTTTTTCCCAGAATGGTTCTTGGTTTGTTTGAGGCCCATATATTTTCCATCTTGTTCCATGAAGCCAGAATTGGTGAGGCATGCTCAGTCATGAACTGCCTCCAAGAGCAGTAGCTGAATATCAATAGTTGAATTCCAGCAGTATCAAATGCCTTTTGAACTTGCTTCTTTGGCCACATATTGTATTTCCACCAGTCTTCTTTTTTATGTTTTCTGGTATTTTCCTTCTCTGCTTTTCTTGAGGAGCTTTACATCTCCTGTCCAAGAATTTATCACTTTCCATGATGTGTTTCAGTTAAAAAAATCATTAAGACCTTTTACTTTTTCCTCTAGTAAGAACACAAGTTTGTACTTCCAGAATATGTCATTCTGGGATCTCTTCAAGCAGTACATACCTTGTAGGTCATAACTGACCTTCCTTTGCTTTCCATGTAGATTGGCAATTGACAATTCCTTGCATAATTTCACATAAAACTCCCCAATTTGCTAATTCAGGGATCTTGCCCTCTGGGGAACTGGTTGCATTATATGTCCTCTGAAACTTCTTCAACTAGGTCAGCAGCAAATAATCTCCAGTCACACATAGCCAGTTGTAGCATTCAGTCAGCCATTGTAGAGAAGAAGGATTATGGATATATGCAAGCCTCTTTTGCCTGGGCAATGGAGCTTACATATGTCCACCAAGTTCATTTTCCTTGAAATAGTCTCTATTTCCTTAGTTCTACAACTTTCTTCTTCCCCTTCCTTTCTTTCCTTTGTCTTGAACTCCTACCCAAAATTCTCTTTCTTTCTCTGCTTTTACATTCACTTAGTGACTTAAAGAACATTATCTTCTTCAACATGGTAGGAAATAATTATTTTTATTTAAATAGCTATGTAACTGATCTAAAAGAACAATAGCATCTTGGAAACTAGACTCCTTTTAAATATCTGAAAAGGTATTATAATATTTTAATAGAGCTCTGGGATTGCCCTTGTACACCTACATTTCCTAAAGTCTAGGCAGGAGAAATGCTAGCACCATATCTCGCTCACGTGTTACAGGTATCGTATAACACAGAAACACATAAAGCCAGGATTGTCTTGCTCAGTTTTTCATTTGAACATTTACCACAAGTTAATCATATAACAATAGAATATATAAAATTCTTGATAAAACCCTCATATGAGAGTGAATAAGAGTTCCTCATATAGTTGAGATTGTCTCACTGGAGTCTAAGATTATATCATGTATAGGTATTCTGGTTTTTACCTCTGAGTTGAACATACAAAGCATACTTTTTTTAATGAATATAGATGTCATTGCACATATTTGTTCCACAAGAGACCAAGGGAATTTGTATACTAACCACACTTCTATTTTTGTAGAAGTCTAACATTCTACTCTTTTGAATGTGTGGATGTTTATACAAATACTTCAAAGAAAACTGAGTGCTTTAGCTCACTTCTGCAAATATGTGGAATGTAAATATCAAGTAATAGTTCTGGATTCTATATGTTTTTCCTCATATTATTTAGAAATAAATATTCCAACTACCCAAAGCTGCCCACATTCCCTCTGCCTTAGAAAAAATAAGCAACACTCAAGAAAGCTGAAGGCATTTTAAAAAATTTAGAGAAAAACCTCAAAATTGTGAGAGTCAAATTTATAACAAGATGTAATGCTGTTAAGAAGTACAATCAACTGACAAAAGCTGAAGTGAGTGTTCATGCCTTACTACACCAGAATAGTTGAAACGTGTACATGGCATAATAACAGAAACAGTGTTGTTAAGAAGGGTTAGGCGTCACTGCATTTCAAAACATCAGTTTGATACCTTCCTTTGCATATAGTTTCTATTCATTTTCTTCAATAAATTCAGCAGAAATTTGAGGATTTTCAAGGTTTTGTTAAGAAAAATGTGATGTTTGTTCTCTGGGTATGTTTGCCATTTAATTACATACCATGGATATTATACAAGGGAGAGAAATTGTTCTGGACCATTTCACTTGAATTACTTAATTTTTTTCACAGCATCTCACATAGCATTATAATAGGATTATGCTTTCAGTTCAAAAGCATGGAAAGGAACTACAGCTGAGAACTTTTAGATAGTATTATCTGTTTCCTAAATATCACATAATGAAACCACATCAAAAAAATTAAAGAATTGTTTAAGATTTATATATTTAAGAAGTGAGTTAGAATGAACATTCCATTTTGTTGATGCTTTATTTATGCTTATCATTTACATAATATTTAATAATCGTTTTTGGTCTTCTGAAACTTTCTGTGCCCTGCAAAATCTATAAATAAATAAGATAAATAACATTAAGAGACATTTAAACTTACCCCCTTTTCAATGCTCCCAGTTTGGCAAAGAGTACCCTCAGCTGCTGGAATACTGTTGGTAACACAGCGATTACTTTTGCTGAGACACCAAAGCTCTCTACACACTTCCTGGGAAAGAAGGCAGAAGCAAGTTGTTCAGAATAACTGAATAATATGTATTCAATGCTCCTTAAAATATACTTGTGTTGAAAGTCCAAGATAGTGTTCTAGATGCATATAAAAAAAGAAAAGAAAAACAAATTGAAATGAATTTTAGAATATTTAATAGAATGGAACCACTGACATTTTTTAAAAAAACAAGTAATATTTTTTTCTGAATTCTTACATAGTAAAATTGTTGAATCATTCTCCATAAGCCTAATTAGTAGTGTTGTACATTTATTTTTAGCCATGTGCAGAAAATCCATCACAGAATAATCTCACAGTGTAAAAGTCTCATTTATCACATACAAATCCCAAAATGGGTTGTGTGAATTGGCCCTGGATCTACAATATTCTACAAACAAAATATACCATTATGAACATAAATCTTCAAGTATATACAGAAATAAACTTTCTTCTAGGGAATTATTTGCATGATTCACCACAGGTCTCTTGTAGGAACAAGAAATTTCCAGATCTAGAAAAAGTAATTGCCAATGGGATTGATTATTGCCTTGTCAGACAATAACTTTTTTTTTTACTATACTGGATGTAGAAACCACAAATAATTTCCTAGCCAGGCAGGGCCACTTCACCCCTTCTCTAAAGGTAAGAGTTAAATCAATCTCATTTGACTGAGTCCAGATTATTTTTAGCCTCACAAAATAAAAAACACTCTTCCATTCTTCTGCATACAAGTCTTCTTAATTCATCATCCCTAAGTATAACAGGATACTGGTGTGACTTGGGAAACCCAGCAGTGCATAAAGGAAATGAAGTAATCCATATCACAGTTTTAAAGACAGGAAAGCACTCTGCAAGATTCATATCTGGTCAGAATCATGCTTACTTATCATTTCCTGCAGATTAACCCAACAAAGTTAAAAGTACTTCAGAATCTTGGTGCACTAGTAAATCAGAAAAAAGCCATTTCCTATTGTGGAGTTTCACTATTTATTATTTCACTTCCAACAATAAAGGTTTTGGGTGTGAGGCCTTTTTAATATGATGAGTAAAACTGGAATAGCAACTCTTCTATTCACTTCAATCCTAATTTATTCAGAAAGAATTCAGAGAATCAAAAGATATTGAGTAGTATACAACAATATCAAGGGTTCCTAACTAGGGTTATCATGTTTGCAGCCTCTCCCAAGATGGCACCTCCTCTGGGATGGCATGAAGTGGTGTCTGCAACTCCCCAAATTGTGACAACTTCAGGGATAGTATCATGTAGCTATTGTATAGAAGGCCATACAGGAAATTGGCTGCCTTTTCTCGCCAAAGGCAATCTCCAGAAAATATAAATGAAGCAAGATATGAGGAGGAGGAGGCTGGGGTGGGAAGTAGGCCATGGTCTACAAAGACTTTGAGGGGCGGGGCATAGGTCCAAGAATTCCAGCGGAGCGAAAAGGGGGGGAGGTGAGAGGGGCTGATGTAGCATCCCTGCTATTAGCCACAAGAGCTGGTGGATTGCCAAGTGCTTGGGTTTTGCTAACCCAAGGGTGCTGCCTGGCCATAACTTCAAATACAGGTCATAAAACCATTTGTTCAGTACCACTGTAATTCTGAACAGTCACTGTATCATAAATTGAGGACAACCAAAAATAAACTTTTCAGCTTGCTTAATATCATATTGACTGTTTATTCATGAAATTCAGGATGATGCTCTGGGGTTTATTTAAAACATTCCACTGAATATTTTAAATGGCTCTATTCATTTTATTCAGTGCAAATAAAAGCGATAATAAGGATTAATGTAAGCATACTTCTTCACCATATAATTTTTGTCATTAAAAGGAAAATGGGGATATCATTATGTCCTGATTCTCAAGCTAGTATTATCACTTGATATCACTTTTTGATAATATGACTGTGGAGAGTATACAATGTGTCCTTAGTACTCATAATGGAAATATATATTGTAACTTACCACATAATATACAATTGCTGATAATTATTATACCAATGTTGTATGGCCTTATGCTTAAGGCTATTAATTTGCAGCAAGTGCTAAATTAGTGCAGCATTCCCAATTAATTAACAGCACAATCTAATTCAGGATGAGTTAAAGCTTACATTTCCTACCAATGTACTCAATTCAAGGGCAACACAAATATCTAGTCAAGGCAAGTGAGGTTCAAAGAGTCAAATAGAAACATGATCAATAAGAAGCAACAAATTAAAGATTCCAGCAGTCAAGTACAAAACAGTTTGATCCTCATGAGGCTTTAATGGGAAGCTTTTTTCCTGCACTATTTGAATGATGTCTTAAATGGACATTATCTCAGCTTTTGACCAAGCGTAGCTAGTGTCTTATCAGCCCTAATTACTGAGACTGCAACCTCAAAATCACATATTATTTATTGCCTATACTGTTTACCCTATCAGAAAGTGGATTCTTCCTTTCTATCTACTTGCCTCCTATCTGAATTCAATTATGTTTTTATAGGATAGACGATCACTATCACATTCAAAGTCAAAATTTGTGGGAATTGGGAATAAAGTAATGCTATTTGAATAACGCTTTCGATGGTGTCAAGATTTGGTCCATTTCTATTAGCATGCTGTTACCATTGATCATGCAGTGGATATTCATTGTATCAGTTTGAAACTAATATAGAAATCCTTCCCTATTCATTTTTTACATTCTTTTTGACAGCATAGGCTAAATCATTACATCTCAGCCTATAATATCCCAAATAATGGTCCTATATCAGGTAATTAAACTATCACTATAGAAATAAGTTATAATATTTGATGTCTATGACATTGTTAACCTGAAAAACAAGAAATGTATACAACACACATTGAAGGTGCTAAGTATTGCAATAAATGATATATTTAATGACATTGCCATTTTGGTTTTTGATTAATGTTAGAAACAAGATAACTTCTGGCAAAGCATCCACATGTTCTGCTGATGCACACAAAAATATTTTCCACATCATCATATAATCTGGTGCATCAGAAAATAAGCAGATAATTAGGAAAGACAATCTAGTAATGTTTTTGCTGCACTTGCAGATATTAAACAATATATTTCCTTGTTGCTAACAGTTAGGCAGCCTAATCAAAGCATTTGATATAGTCTGGACATCATGTATCACTAAGTTCTTTTTCAATATTCCAGCACTATATTTATGCATAGAACAATAGCTGAATGTTATGCATACTTATTCATAGGAGTACAATAATTATTTAAAAACAATAGCTAATTGAATGTAAATATGTATAAAATAAGTTTAACTGTTTTATAACAGTTTGATGTAGTGGTTAAAGCATCAGGCTAGAAACCAGGAGACCATGAATTCTAGTCCCACCTTAGGTACAAAGCCAGCTGGGTAATCCTGGGGCCAGTCACATTCTCTCAGCCTTAGGAAGGAGGCAATGGAAAACCATTTCTGAAATTTCACGTCAAGGAAATTGAATGGACTTATCCATGCAGGCTCTGAGAATCGAACAAGATTGAAAAAAATCTATACTGTTGTAAAACAGAAAATTCTCAGTTTTCTATCTCATCTATCCAGCAAAATAGATGAGGTTTTAGCCTGCATGGGGCAGAATGGAGTTGCATCCTGCTTCATCTGAATCACTGAAGTTTGCCCAATAGCTTAACTTGCAAGTTGGATAGCACAGACTGAATCTGAAGCTTCAGTTCTCATTTATTTCCATCTTGCCACTTGCAGTAGCTTGCAGTTAGTTGCAAACTGGTCTGTGAAGATGCCTACAACTACAAATGAAGAAATTCACTATATTCTATTATAATGTTTCTTCTTGTTCTTTTATGACTGCAAAAGCAGAATTCATAATAAATAAAAGATATAAAAAGAAATATTTCTGATGAAAATACTAAAGAATTTCTGTTGAAAAAAGCTGATGTTTGGTATCAAAATATTGAGAACTATGGTGCATGTTCAACTAGACAATACAAGTTTGGTTACCTTACTATACTATATTAAAATAGTGTTTGCTCATAAAAGCATCTTGTAAGATTGTCAATTGTTAGCATCCAATCATATTTCTTGCATTGTCTGAAATAATATATTTTATTAAAAAGACCAGTAATTATAGATTTTCCAGTTTTCCAATAGTCCTACTTTGGCCATGGTTTAGTAAAATCAAACTTAACTGAACTCAGGAGTGGGAAAAGTGCCTGCAGTTAATAATCTGCTCAGGAAGTCAATCAGATTTTAAAACATCTATCAGGTTTTTTTACTACCCTAGTAGATTAGATTTTGCATTAGTTTAATTTGCACATAAGAAGATTGATTACTTTATATTGTTATATTAAATAAAGGGAGACTTCATTTAAGAACACAAGAAGAGAGAGTCCTTGTTTAAGAGATATTTTTGCTTTTAACTCCAAATACGTAAACAATACTATTCGTAAAATTGAATATCGTAAAAATTCAATTCAATTGAAAACAATATTCAAAATTACGCATCTGACTTGAGAAGAAAAAAAGTTTAAAAATTTATATTTTACATTTCACAGATAAAAATAAACATTAAAATAGTTATTATTAGATGAAACGTTTAATATATCTGTTTTGATTTTCTTTAATTGTTAAGAGAAACACAGGATAATCAGGTATCTTATTCAGTAGTGGAATTCAAATATGTGAATGATCGGTTCTCTGTGTGGATGCCGCTTCTGGAAGTCCATTCTGGGCCTGGGCAACAAAAAAACAGCTACCGGTTCTGACAAAGTGGTGTGAACTGGCTGAATCCCACCGCTGATCTTATTGCATTGTGTGAGATAATAAAGCATTACCTGTTCTTATTTATTTTTACCTATTACAATAATTTTAACAACTAAATTGCTGATCTTACTCACATGCAAGATACAATTCTAGATACTGTAGCTTCAAGTGGTCATTAAGTGACCAGTCATAAGTTGATGACTCTCTGTAGAATAGGAAGCATGCATTCATATTTAGGTTATTCAATATGTTTTTTGCCTGTAA